TGACCCAGCCAAAAGCGTGCAAGAACATAGCCTAACCGTATGCGCACGGCGGTCTGGACAGGAGGTTTACAAGACAAGACGAGTCCAAGTACTCTTGGGCGGAGCTTTTGAAAAGATCCCATGATCACTCCGGAAAGTGTGTGGCGAGAGCGCGACAGGGCCAGTACAAGCAACATCCCGGACAGGAACCGCTTTCTCCCTTTGATGACGAGGAGGCCATACCTATGTTCCGCGACACCCTATCTTCCTCCAAGTGCGGCGAAGAGGCGTCTCCTCCACCAATCCTGAGGCTTCGCACAGCACGGCTTCTAAACCTTGCGATTAAAGCCCCATGGAGGACCTATGGAAACCGCCTGCGAATCCCCACAACACGCCCTGCCCCCAGCTGCGGCCCTGGATCGTCTTGTCGGATGGCATCTGGCCGTCCGGCTGGATGCCGTGCTCGAGGCAGAAGAGCTCCCAGCAAGCATTGCCGATCTGCACGCCGCCCTGCCGGCAGCACTCATGCATCAGCTGATTGCGACCCCAAACTCACAAACCCAAGTCCCGGAATCCCCACATACATGATCCGGTCGTGAGTCTTCTCATTCCCATGAAGCAGCCCACCCAAACTGAAACATTGTGGTGGACCAACGATACATCAGCCCTCGAACCCCAAACCCTAAACCCCGAACTCCCAAAGCCTCGACCCTAAACCTAAAACGCCAGAACACGAAGATTGAAATCCCAAGCCCTCCAACCGAAACACCCTTATGTCAAAGCTCTGTGCAGCCCGTGCCCTCCCAATTGGGGTTCAGGGTGTTACGATTCAGGGATTCTTTGGGGTGACAGCGCGAGGCAGAGCGGCGCCTGACCGATGTGGATGCAGATTGCCTCGCGCATGGCTTAGTGCGGAAAAGGGTCGGAAGTCACCTCGCGATGTAGTGGCCTCAGGCACCAATCCTTCTCGGGCCAAACAGCCACGTCATCAAGCATAGGGCAAAACCTAACGGATACGGCCGTCATCAAGGATATCAGCACCACCACCACCACCACCACCACGACCAACACCACGAACGCCTCTGTCATCACCATCATCATCACCACCGTCATCATCCACCATCCATCATCATGACCAGCAGCAGCAAAAGCAGCATCTCTTGCTTCTCCTTCCTACGAGTATCATGAATGCATTCGCCATCACCTGCCATCACCATCATTGCTACGATATCGTTGTAATGGTCGTGGTCGTCATGGTCCTGCTTGCAGAATCAGGAGGTGAGTAGAGTGATATAGCTCTAGCCGCTGGTCATGTCGCCCATTACAATCCTTGTCATCATAGGCGTTAATATCAAACCATCATAAGCCATCACCACCATGATCGTGGTTCACCCGCAGCAGCAATCGCCAAAGCTTCGCCGTCTCCGAGCACGACGGCAACAGAGGTCGTACTTGCGGCTCAGACTTCGAAGCATTTTCTGAAATGGAAAGCGGCTCCTTCAACAATCACCAAAGACCTTTTCTTGCCACAGTTTCGGCGCTCACCATCTTGAATGAACAGTCCGAGCATTGCCCGCAACAGGTACGCTTCTACCCGTCACTGAACACACGGCATCATGCACTGCCCAAGGAACATGCCATTCAGAGAAAGGGATGTTTAGAACATGGAGTGTCAAACAGCGTCCTAATTCCTGATTCTCGGGCTTCAACAGCGATGTTCTCA